AATTAACAGATGCAGTCTCTTGGTCAAAAATGCTATTAACAATTTAATTAACATTAGTATTTTTTATTAGAACAATTAATATCAGTAATTGAACAACTGTAATTTGGCATCTAGACAAGCAAACTATTTTGTCATAGATCTGTCCCACTTTTGGACCCAAATTATTAATACACGTATTGTTATAGTGATACATGTACCCACCCAACTCATTTCTTTCTAAATAAAAATGAGCTTATAATTTGAAATACAATTAGCATATCCCGTCCTTGAAATATCTGATTATAAATAAAATGCATGGCTATGTATGTTAAAAATTTCTTTAACATAAAATTGTTATTTTAAATCGCTATATATATGTTATCTAGATATAAACTTTATTTATTACATAAAATAAATGTAATTTTATCTTCCTAAGATAAATATATAGTCTATGTCAAGTACTACTCTTAAAATGATAACTATCATTGCAATGTGTGCACTTGTAACCTACATATAAGCATTAAAAATGAGTATACGCGACACGCACATGCAACATACAAATAAGATTAAATGTGTATTTCATGGGAATAACACATTTCATATAATATTTATACAACCCAGCAAGCCCATGTATACTCTTATTAGACATCGATGGTTAGCTATGTCAAAGGTAACATATCTACTATATAGATAATGTTACTCTTTTAGGTCTAAGGACCACTTTACAAGTATCTCTCTTATTTCCTTGACAGCAATTATTATCGAGAGTAATTAACACTGATCCAGTTCAACATATATACCTACTTATAGATGTCTACATGTTCACTTAGTAATCTACTATTACAAATGGTTGAGATAAACTATCTGATAAATATGGCAGCGTAAGATATATTAGCTTCCAAGTGAAATGCCCATATTTTCAAACTATATCCTAGTCTATAGAAATGTCGCGCCTCATGTCCCAGAAGCATCTGACGGGCACGTGACTAGGCTAGGTAGCATACACAATCGGGCCAAACACTATCCAAAAGTATATACTTAAGCCTATACTGAGAATTAGTTCATACATCTCTTTCACTATACAGAGAACAGCATCACAAAATCATAGGTAATAACAATCACAAGAAAACTAATATACAACAAATAGCAAGAATATAGCACAAATACACAGCGAAAGCAATATATTTAGCAAATATCAACAAGTCTCATAGATAACATATAACATAAAAGATATCAAGAATCTGATATCAATGTCATCACCACATAATACATAAAAGAAACTAGATCACACAGCCACTCAAGTCTAAAACAACTGTAATAGTAACGTACATCAGAGCCAACTGTATAGCAGCGAAAATAGAAAATAACATTGATAACAAAAGCCTAATAACCAAAAGCTGAACAGAGTTGAAAACAGATAGACAAGCCGATCAACAGGAACTCCATCTATGGAAGGTCACTAGACTACTATGTCCCTGAAAGTATGGGTAGAAGGTCTGAGTTCGTCACTGGTGTACAAACCATGACGATCAGAAAGCCATCTAGCAAATGGTAAATGGAGTGATTTGTGCACATGTAATGTGTATCACAAATGCATGATTTGCTTGCTTTCATAAAAAGAGAGTGCATCTCAAAAATCCAGAAAAGGAAACAGGTAAGGCTAATAGCCAGATCATCACAGCACAGATGTAACAATGAGAATGCATTTCACTCCTGCAGTGTGGTCCAAAGCTAGTGTGTGCATCTATCTTCAAATTTTATTTAGCCATGTTTAGGAAAAGCTCTCACAGGTAATGTGTTTGGTGCACCCGCCAGAAACATTACTTACATTCTTACTTGGTTTTCATGCACAAATTGTTGTGCACTAGCGCTCAAAACACACCCTTGGGCCACACATTATCTATGAGATGTCCAAATCCCTCCCATCAGTTAACCCACATGAACATTTTTATTACTTGTACATGATATGCTATGCACTTGACCCGAGTAACTCAATCTATAGAGAACATCCATATGTGAGTGCCTTCTCCAACTAGGTTTCCAAAGAAGATGAAAAATGCCCGCCAAATACCAAAGCAAGTCATCATGACTTCATACACATAGATAATCTCTTTCGTGGTCTCTCTTTCTTAATTTATCAAGTTTTTATACTTGACCAAGTTCTTAGTGCTAGAAAATCACAAGTCTCAACTCAGTCACAATATATCCCAAACTGAGAACTTTCTCAATCCAAAACAGAGAACATTTTTTATTTAATGTCACGAAGGACGCCTAATTTTTAAACATAAGCAATCATCATCATCATGTATATACCATATCATGGTGCCTAATCATGCATATTCTAGGGCCAAGTCTCATGATAACGTACCGAGCAAAACCAAAAGTCCAAATTGAAACCTAAATCAACATGCATAATGTCCATCAGTGTTTTCAATGCGCGAGGCGCAATGCTGGGTGCAAAGTCAATTTAAACACACGTGCAAGGCGATGCGCGCGCCCGAGCGAAGCGATGCGCGCGCCCGAGCGAAGCGATGCGCGCGCCCGAGCGAAGCAAGGCGCACTCCAGACCATAAAAATTTTGAAAATATACAAGATGCATGAAAAAATATATTTGCGTTTCCTATCCATCCAGATTAGAAGCTCTTTTTGTCGGGATATGCCGTCATTTGTGATCTTATTACAAATTATGCACTTGTGTCTATTGGCATTCCCATCATCAACTAAGAAGTATATTTCCACATAGGATCTTGTCTTCTACCACTACCCGCCGATGAAGATATATCTATACCAAAACACAATTTTCTATTAATCACATATATGCATTATGCAACAAAACTCATAAATTCACAAATAAGATACTATATAGATTTAGTGAATCAAACTTATGCGTTAATTTCCATGCAATCATGCAAATTATTCAAACTTTCAGACTAGTGTATTTACTGTATTGCATCACTAACAATTATATTGCCAAAGAAAAAAAACAGTTAACAGTCAAGAGCGAGCAAAAAAAACAAAATAAAAAAACAACAGTTAACAGTCAAGACAAGACAAAAGTCCACTTAATCTCTCTTTATATGTTAGTTTCCACTTCCTCTCTCTTTATATGTTAGTTAGCAAGAGTGATTATCTACACCAAGTATTAAGTTGCTTCTCCACATTAATAACACATACATTTTCATTAAAATAAAATGAAGCAAGAGTGATTAGCAACAGTTAACACATACATTAATAACACATAACACCACAATGCAGAAACACAAGATAAGCACTATAAGATAACATAGCACATTAAACCTTACATACTTAAACATGGATATATCATGAATTCAATAAAACAAACATAAACATGTAAATTTAACCAAGCGACTAATTTAGCATCTATTATACCTTAACATAGCAAGAACAAGCTTAATTGCACAAATGAAATCAGAATCAATGAAAGGAAACCAAGTAATCATGAAAAACGAACTCAAACGAATTAATTTCTCAAAATGGAAAGAATATGTTTTCTTGTGCTGAGCGCATCCACTCGGAGGTTGGGCGCGCACACTCACCCCAATGCCACATTAGCCAAGTTTTAACATCAATGTGCTAAAAATCTAAAACAGAAATCATTCGCTTGAGCATGTGCGCTTATTGCTTAGGTGTGTGCGCTCAAACACTGTAAACTAAACTATTCTCGGGATTTCACCGAGCACATGCATTGGTCAAGTCGAACGCATGCGCTTGTGTTGAAATCCGTGATTTTCAACACATTTTCAACCAAAGACTTCCTCAATTCAAAACCAAATCAAAAACCAATTCCGACCCAAGTTTTGTACTGCTGAAAGGAAACTATTCCACCAATTTTCATACCAAAACACCAAGTATTCACAAATCTACCATTAGAGCTCGAGGGCTCGCTATATATACATATATTCAATTCATTACCACTGAGAAATATGAACATGTATGGGTGTGGCATGACACAACATGAAAATTCCACAGTGACTAGGAGATGGAGAACTACTCAGTGATTAGATATACCTTATGTGACAATAAAATAGGGACTAATTGATACATGCATGTGCATGCATATTAGCAGACACACATCCAATATATAACATTGCATATAATAGGGTTGCACACACTTAAATGACCTTGTATATAATATGGTTGGCTCTTCAACTTCTAGGCAATGGATAATCACATAGTCTGAACCTATATAGTCCTCTTGTACTCCCTTTCGTTAAATCGAATTTAGGATGTGAACTCTATATAAGATTGTTATGCTATATAAGACAGGATATGTTAAATCAAATTTAGGATAAGTCACTGCCCTTTCTTCGAAATTGTAGTTTTAACATAAAATGGATAAGATTTATATCCCAAATTGTGGTACATAATAAAATACATATCAATGTGTCAAGGATATAATACAGAAGAGTTAAAGATTTGCGCAAAATAGATGATCGAGTTGAGGACAAATTCTGACTGCAAACATGAAGTTCTTGATACTTATAAGAAGGAAAATCTAGAGATATCCACTAGTGAGAAAGAGAAAATCAGCTAAAGCTAGACTCATATTGCTGCTTTTTAGCTAAAATTTCATCAAGAAATCAATCCGACTCCTCTAAAACCATAAGGAACCTCAGAAAGATCCCTAAACAGAACCATAACCAGCACAAATAAAGATAAAGTACCGATTCTCTTGCATGCTAGCAAAAGCCCTGAGGAAGTTCACTTGCACAATATACTGCTGCAGAACCTCGACATCCAAATCAACGACAGCGGCTTGGAAGCAGCAGACATCACGTCCTTCTGCGACTTGATAACCTCCTCGCCACTGATCGCTGATCACTGCCGCTCCAATTAGGTTAGGATAATGGTTACTATAATCAAAATTGCTCGATTAGGGTTACGAATCAAGGGTATGGGGGGAAAAGTAGCTTAATTAGGATTGCTTGGGAGATTAATACAAAACTGAACAATAAATTATGAAAACTATACGAAAAGTGAAAATTTTCATGCAATATTACCTTAAAACGAAAAGGGAAGAAAGGAGACGGAGGGCGGCGGAGGCTGCGAGCAGAGGCGGAAGGCAGCGGATTGCCAAGAAAGGCGATGGGCGGCGGGGTTGCGAGGAGAGGCGGTGGGTAGCGGCTTGGATAGCTGCGGAGTGAGAGTGAGGAGTGAGAGTGAGAGATGAGGGAGAAAATATTAGGACAATTTTTGAAAACAGACCCCTTTGCAAATTTATTCCCAAAAAACGCCCGTTTCCACTTTATTTTTAAAAAACGATCTAGTTTTAGCCTCAGTACTGAAACTGTGTCGGTTTTTAGGAAAAATATTCCCAAACTTTATGGGAGTTGAACTCCCGTGAAGTTTTTTCATAACAAAACTTCACAGGACTTCAACTCCCGTGAAATTTTATTTTGAAAAAAACTTCACGGGAGTTCAACTCTCGTGAAATTTGGGAACATTTTTCGCAAAAAACGACCCAGTTTCAGCCTGACGCTAAAACTAGGTCGTTTTTTGCGAATATTTTTAAAACAGGATTTTTTGGAAATATTTTTGCAAATGGGTCTATTTTAAAATTTTGCCTGAAAATATTATGATGGAGAATCGATTGAAAGTCTCATAAACGGGGGAGATCAAAGGATCACAGAAATCATGTGGGATCCAACAAATCAGAGGAGTTGGCTAGGGCCTGACCGAAAAATAATGACAAATTTTCAAAAGCTACCCTTTTTCAATAATATTTTCAAAAAATGATATGTTTCAACAATATCATATCATTATCATACTCACTTTAAAAGTACGTCATACTCACTTTAAAAGTACGAGTTGAGGAAAATCTTTTCATGGTCAATATTACCCTTAATTTTTTTAAAATATTATATTGTTATCCTAATCTATTCTAATTTTCCTATCTTCCTTGAATTTATAATTAAATGATTTATCCTATCCATAATGAGACTTAACATGTTATTGGATAAAGGTGATATGTTTGATATAATTCAAATCTTTTACTTATTTCAATTTGTAAAGAAATCTAAAAAATATATGCTAGCCAGCACCTAAAAGTTTTTTGACCTTGTAAAAAAAACCCTCAAGATAAAAATCTAAAAATTTATAAAACTTTAAACTTTTTACAAATTGCAAGATAAAACCCTCACGACTGTAAAATTTATAAAAATTCTGATAATTTCTAACCTAGCAGTACATTAAAAATATAGGAATTACAAATATCCCCTGCATAATTTATAATTTATAGAAAATGCCCTTAAAGTTTCAAAAATTACAAAAAACACTCTAAATTCAAATTTTATAAAAAAACACTCTGAGAATTTAAAACTCATTAGTAAATTGAAACTATAGGAATTATAAATAGTTTATAAACAATTTACAATATATAGAAAAGACCTATAAGTTTAAAAAATTACAAAAAAACTCTAATATTCATAATTTATAAAAAAAACACCATGAGAATTTCTAACCTATAGACACTAAAATGAATATACAAAATTACTAGCAACCCTAGAAAATAAAAAAAATTACAAAAAAATATCATACTTCCTTTAAAAGTATAGGTTTAGGAAAAACTTTTCATAGTCAATATTATCCATAACTTTTCTAAAAAGAACATAACTAATTAAAAATCTATTAGATTTAAAATTTATAAAAAAAATCTTAAAGTTTAGTACATTGCAAATTACCCCTCCAAAGTTTGAAAATTTTCAATGATTTTTTGTAGCTTCTTGGATTTTAATGTAATTTTTAATAGTTTTGTGTATTTGTTAATTATAAAAGTTTAGGGTGTTTGTTTTTACAATTTTAAAAACTTTTGTGGGTATTTCTTTTGTAGTTTTCTAAATTTTCATAGTGTTTTTAGTATAATGCATAAATACATCAATTAATAATGATATTGAAGAGTAAATCGTTCTTAAGATGTATTGGGCTATAGTTAAGTGTGCACATCACTATTCCTAAACACTATAGTTTATACATGCAAAAACTTTTAAACAATTAATATGTTGGTTAAAAGGTTTTTGACTTTAATATACTATTTTTTATAAATTATATTTAATGTGAACCCATCATATAATTTTAACGGTGGTCATTATAATTTTAATATGTTTAATCAATTGACTATATAAGTATACAGACCATAGATTACTTTACTTTCTCGCATGAACGAATATTAGGCACTTAATAATTTAAATTATATTTATTTATTTAGCTACAGGATAATACAATTTCAATTCCTATACCTTGTAAAAAATACCCTCTAAGTTTTTAAATTGAAAAAACACCCCTACAAATTTAAAATTTTATTAAAACATCTTAAAAATTATAAATTTTACTTATTTCAATTCAGTGAGAAATCTGAAAAATATATGCACGCTAAAAAATAAAAGTTTTTGACATTGGAGAAAGTATATTGTAAGTTTTAAAAAATGCAAAAACACTCCTAAATTTTAAAATTTGTAAAAAATACATTGAAAATTTCAAACATATAAATACAATAAAAACCTAAAAATAACACAAATAACCCCTAAAAATTTATAAAATTTGCAATAAAACTCTAAACTTGTTACAAATTACAAGATAAAACCCTCAAAATTATAAAATTTATAAAAAAATTCTGATAATTTCCAATCCAATAATATATTAGAAATATAGGAGTTACAAATATCCCCTGCATAATTTATAATATATAGAAAACACCCTTAAAGTTTCAAAAATTACAAACAAACACTCAAAATTTAAATTTTACAAAAAGCACTCTAAGAATTTTAAACTCATTAGTAAATTAAAAACATAGGAATTATAAATAGTCTATAAATAATTTACAATCTATAGAAAAAAAAACCTATAAGTTTTAAAAAATTATAAAAAAACCCCTAATATTCGTAATTTATAAAAAAACACCATGAGAATTTCTAACCTATAGACACTAAAATGAATATACAAAATCACTAGCAACCCCTAGAAAATAAAAAATTTATAAAAAAAATATCATACTCCTTTTAAAAATATAAGTTTAGAAAAAAATTTCATGGTTAATATTACCCATAACTTTTTTTAAAAGAACATAACTAATTGAAAATCTATTAAATTTGAAATTTACAAAAAAAAACTTAAAGTTTAGTACATTGCAAATTACCCCTCCAAAGTTTAAAAATTTTTAATAATTTTTTGTAGTTCCTTGATTTTAATAAATTTTTTAATAGTTTTGTGTATTTGTTAATTATAAAATTTTAGGGTGTTTGTTTTTACAATTTTAAAAACTTTTGAGGGTATTTCTTTTGTAGTTTTCTAAATTTTTATTATGTTTTTAGTGAAATGCAAAAACACTCCTAAATTTTAAAATTTGTAAAAAATACATTGAAAATTTCAAACATATAAATACAATAAAAACCTAAAAATAACACAAACAACCCTTGTAAAAAATACATTGAAAATTTCAAACATATAAATACAATAAAAACCTAAAAATAACACAAACAACCCTTAAAAATTTATGGAATTTGCAATAAAACTCTAAACTTGTTACAAATTACAAGATAAAACCCTCAAAATTATAAAATTTATAAAAAAATTCTGATAATTTCCAATCCAATAATATATTAGAAATATAGGAGTTACAAATATCCCCTGCATAATTTATAATATATAGAAAACACCCTTAAAGTTTCAAAAATTACAAACAAACACTCAAAATTTAAATTTTACAAAAAGCACTCTAAGAATTTTAAACTCATTAGTAAATTAAAAACATAGGAATTATAAATAGTCTATAAATAATTTACAATCTATAGAAAAAAAAACCTATAAGTTTTAAAAAATTATAAAAAAACCCCTAATATTCGTAATTTATAAAAAAACACCATGAGAATTTCTAACCTATAGACACTAAAATGAATATACAAAATCACTAGCAACCCCTAGAAAATAAAAAATTTATAAAAAAATATCATACTCCCTTTAAAAAGTTAGGTTTAGAAAAAAAAATTTATGGTCAATATTACCCATAACTTTTTTTAAAAGAACATAACTAATTAAAAATCTATTAGATTTAAAATTTACAAAAAAAAACTTAAAGTTTAGTATATTGCAAATTACCCCTCCAAAGTTTTAAAATTTTCAATGATTTTTTGTAGTTCCTTGATTTTAATGTAACTTTTAATAGTTTTGTGTATTTGTTAATTATAAAATTTTAGGGTGTTTGTTTTTACAATTTTAAAAACTTTTGAGGGTATTTCTTTTGTAGTTTTCTAAATTTTTATTATGTTTTTAGTGTAATGCAAAAACACTCCTAAATTTTAAAATTTGTAAAAAATACATTGAAAATTTCAAACATATAAATACAATAAAAACCTAAAAATAACACAAACAACCCCTAAAAATTAATGGAATTTGCAATAAAACTCTAAACTTGTTACAAATTGCAAGATAAAACCCTCAAAATTATAAAATTTATAAAAAAAATTCTGATAATTTCCAATCCAACAATATATTAGAAATATAGGAGTTACAAATATCCCCTACATAATTTATAATATATAAAAAACACCCTTAAAGTTTCAAAAATTATAAACAAACACTCAAAATTTAAATTTTACAAAAAGCACTCTAAGAATTTTAAACTCATTAGTAAATTAAAAACATAGGAATTATAAATAGTCTATAAATAATTTACAATCTATAGAAAAAAAACCTATAAGTTTTAAAAAATTATAAAAAAACCCCTAATATTCGTAATTTATAAAAAAAACACCATGAGAATTTCTAACCTATAGACACTAAAATGAATATACAAAATCACTAGCAACCCCTAGAAAATAAAAAATTTATAAAAAAATATCATACTCCCTTTAAAAATTTAGGTTTAGAAAAAAAAATTATGGTCAATATTACCCATAACTTTTTTTAAAAGAACATAAGTAATTAAAAATCTATTAGATTTAAAATTTACAAAAAAAAAATTAAAGTTTAGTATATTGCAAATTACCCCTCCAAAGTTTTAAAATTTTCAATGATTTTTTGTAGTTCCTTGATTTTAATGTAACTTTTAATAGTTTTGTGTATTTGTTAATTATAAAATTTTAGGGTGTTTGTTTTTACAATTTTAAAAACTTTTGAGGGTATTTCTTTTGTAGTTTTCTAAATTTTCATTATGTTTTT